TCCCTCTCGACATGCAGGCATGGCTAGGGCTTTCGTTTCGACACTCCAACGTCACATACACTACATATGCCAAAAACCCGGTAGAAATGTTTTCCCCTCCTACCGGCACCTTCGATGCTTCCAGTTGCATCGTCGGTTCTCTTTCGGTGGGAAATAATTAAATAGGTTTCTTTGCGTTCGTGGCTTCTTGGATTGAAGCATCGCGTCCTGCGTGTTTCCTATCTGAGTCGAAGCGTGTTGCTGATTACGAACAAGTTTCCGTGACTTTCAGGACGGAAGTTACACGATTGAAGCGCAAAAAGAGTTATTGAACGAGACCTGGAAGAAGCTCTACACAGCTGTATAACAGGAGGTTGCCCATTTGAATAGGAATCCCTTAGCTGCGTCAATTTTCTTGCATACTGCGTCATGAGTGTAATTTAAATCAATATGGCAATTGAAAGTTGTAAAAGCGAGTCGGGACTTGTTCAAACGGTAGGAGTCCAAATGTTTCTTTTCCAGAGATTGAGTGAGAGACCCACGAAGGCGGGTATAAAGCGCTTGCCAATCTCGGACCACCCCGGCGTGGACTACAAAAGTGAGGTGATGGATGACCTGACACAACCCAAAAAAGAGTATGTCAATTCAAAACAAAGCGTTAAGGCCCCCCAGGGGGGAGCAGGCCTTTTTGCAGTGCTTGGAGACTGTGAGTTGGTCCCAGACAGGGTCCTTGAGGTCAACACCTCAACCTCTGGATCGCTCTGTTTGTTGAGGCAGAATAAAATCACAAATATTTCAACGAAAGACATACAAGACCAGCACAACAAAGCAGGTGTTCCGCAATTATTTTTAATGTGTGGTGTTTATTCAACACAAACATTTCCTTGAGAGGCCTTAACGCTTTGTTTTGAATTGACATACTCTTTTTTGGGTTGTGTCTCGATTGAAGGCGTGAGACTTGTTTAAAGCACGGTCCACGTTTTTGCCGTATCTCTCCGTGCACAATATCCAGGGGATTTTACGTTGTGAAGAACCTGGTTTAACTTCCTGTCCCGACTTTGCAAGCGTAAGCGAGGCCTACCTGTACGAGATGGTGCCAACGCAATTCAATGGGATTACCGATATATAATGGGATTACCCGATTGCCATGCTGAGCTGGAGTTGAATAAGTTGTATGTGAAAAGTGCATTGTTATGTACCTCAGAGGGGGGTCCTAACCAGGAGGTTGCGACGTGAATGGAGAGATTGAAGCCGATAGTCAACATTCGTTAACCTGCGACGACCTCCTCTCTAAAGACTCACTAATTAATGTGTCTGTCTCTTGTCATTACCATACTCAAAGAGAAAACTCGAAGGTTTTCATATAAAATCATAAAATTCATGTCATTCTTCGGTCGTGTTTTCCACAAGTTGTTAGGATCCTGTAAATGGCCCCTTAAATTTCCCTGCGAGTGACATGAATTACCTGGCACTTTTTTCGCGAGGGTCGGAATCTTCGATCGCGAATGAATGAAGGAAGACGCAACGTATGATGGCCTGGCATGGGCACGGGTCATCCATCACCTCACTTTTGTAGTCCACGCCAGGGTGGTCCGAGATTGGCAAGCGCTTTATACCCGCCTTCGTGGGCCTCTCACTCAATCTCTGGAAAAGAAACGGAACGTAACCGATGAGACCGCGTACTTGGCGCTTCATCGTTCGAGTGATAACGTGAGAACAAGTTTCCAATATTCATCAAGGGATTGCGTCTTCTCTCTCTTCGGCCGTAGACTCAACTCGCACAAAAATGAGTCAGTACATAAAGAGAATGCGACTGCAGAGCATGGACGATTCGTGGACCTCCATCGAGCTGCATCCTCTCGTCGGTTCCGTGCCCCGATTTCTCACCCATCCGATCAAAACTCATTGCTAACGGATGCCGTCCAGTGTCACGTTATGTGGTCTTCCTCCTTCCCGTTTGGAAAAGACCTGTAACTGACCCTCGGTGGAACGCGCTCCCACAGCGAGGTATCGTGTTCAGACCTGGCAGGATTTCATCTGCAGGGCCTACTTTATTTTCGTTCCATGACAGACAAGACCTTGTGTTCCAAAAGTCGTTTGGAATACAACGTGCATGAAAAAGCTTTCCCAGTCTGCTTTCCCAACGGAGTTCTCACGAGTGGAAAACACATTCTAGTCGTGCCGAGGCAAAGAACGACAACAGGTTTATTCCGCAGTCAATATTAAGTGAGAGCTCTCGCGGTCTTCTCCAATTGCACGGGATGTTGAAGCCTCGTTCGGATCGTTACGCTTCACCCTGGAGGCCTTTAAAGAAAGAGAATTTAATGGTGCTGGAAAAAGTCCAGAGACGGGATAGATAATAAATCCGTGAGGGAGATACGGGACTGGCATAAAAGCAGCGTTTAGATGCATCAGGACTATACTCGTGGGATAGAAGGCTCGTAATGGAGATCCCATCTAGGTACATATCATCATTATCGACTTTGATAAGATGATAAAGGTGTTTTCTCCAACTCAATTAAGAGCAAACGATGAGGAATCATTTCCAGTTCTGCCAGCCCCAAGTGAGATCTAAGGGAAGAAATACCTATTTTTCTTGTCGGGCAGTATGTGCATTCCCCCTCCTCACACACGATCACATGACGCTTGTCACGTGATCGTGTGTGGGGGAGGACGATGGGATGGCTTCAAGAAGGTTACATACCTTCATGAGTGAAACGTAAAAACAGGAGGGTAACGAAGCCGTAGGTAATTGGGCGATTGCACGAGACGGTCCCAACGGAAATCTTTAGCTTTAATGGGTAAATCTGCTTAAAGATGTGGAGGAAATAAAATGAGATTTGAAAAAATTGGAGTCCATATGGACATATGTGGCTCACGACATTCCAACCAAACTTTGAACGTTTTCACCTATCGTTTCTCAAAGACGAACGTGACGAACTGGAATGCGAATGTCGCTAAGACGGAAAGTTTTTGGGCGGCAATCTTCCCACGGATTTTCCGAAGGAAATGCTTCGAATGCGTTCACTCTGATTTTTTTAAAAACTTCTTTTGGCATTTGCGATTCTCGAGAGCGGAGAACGAAGTAACAGTGCATCTTAGAGGACGGGGATTCCAAATACAGAGCCTTAATTGAAATTGGTTTTCAAGGTTTTTCAATCATATTTTCGAGTGCAGTTCCCTTGGGACAGATTGATGGGATTTATAGTGACGAGGAAATTCTTTCTTTCCCCAAATCGAAACGAACTGCCGCTGTTAAGCCGAGAGAGCGAAAATATCAGCCCACGTTCAAGGAGATTGATTAATTTGGATTTCGACTGCATTTCAATCACCCTGCAATCCGAGTTGAAAGAGCGATGGAGGAATATTCGCCGAGGCATTTTTCACGCGCTCATCAATGTCCACAAATGTCGAGTCCCTCTCTTTTCGTGCTTTCGAAAGCCTCCCCATCGATTCGGCTATTCCCGGCCATCGATGTAACTTCACGGCTGCAATCAGACCCCGGGGTCGGGTTCACTGTCATTACCCCTGTGATCCGTGAGCCCTCGCGAGGAAGGGAGACACGGAGCACGCGACGCAATTTCTCGATTCGGCCGTTAAAAAGACACGGTCGGTTCGTGTACGGGTTGGAGATTCGCACATGCGTTTTCGGAAGAACGAGAAAGGAAGGGAGATGGGAATTGGTTCCTGTTCCCGTCCTCGTTAACGATCCCCTCGCTTCCCCTCCCATCGTTTCTTTCTCTCCCCGTGTCGCAGGACGACCGGCATAGATCCAGTGAACACCGGGACGTGACAGGGGGACTCCCCTCTCGTTTGAGGACGGGGGGAAAAACTTTCAACCTCTGTTCGTACCGTCGTATTCAGTGCGACGAAAGCGAGGCAATGCACTCGGTTCGGAGACGGGAGAGGTTGGGTCACGCGAGGAAAATTAGAATTCGCCGACGTCGTCACGGTACCAGGTTTTCCCATCCGGATACAATGGGGTAAATGGATGGCTTCTCATCTGACGTCACGTTTATAGCTCTCTCGAACATCAGCCTCTCCTGTCGACCGACGTCGGGCAGTCTCATCATGTCGAGGGGGCAGACGACATGGCGTCGATAAAGTGTTGATGGAGTGCCCCCCATTTCCAGGTTCCGCTCGGAAATCAAGCCTCATCATCTAAGAGTATTTCATCCATTTCTTAATATTGCATGCTCATAATTGAGGCTTGCTCTGGGTCTACCATGTGTCGATGCAGAGAAACGTTTGAAAGACGTGCTCATTTTATGACATGCTTATTTTGTCGCTCCCTAACAAAAAGATCCATCCCGTTTGCTGGCGTAGATAATTCATTGGCATACTTGCGTACGTTTAATGGAACTGCTTGGTCGAGCATGATCGCTGCGGTTCTGCTTGGTTGAGCACGGCGGCTGTCGGTGGTTAAAACGTAGTTTGTCTTTTAAACTATTTATAAACTCCGTCTTCCTCTGGTCTGCTTGTATGGAGGGGATTGAAGATCGTGTCGTATTAGAAGAATGAGATTCCCAGGCCCCCTGGTCTTCGCAGAGAGCAAGGTGATTCTGGCAGTTATCTATTCAGAAGTCGGCTGGGTTCTCGTGACTTTTTCATGGTAATACGATCACGAGGACCAAGTAAATACGACAAAAAGTCGCAGTATCTCCTAATGCGCGTGAAATGTTTTCATGGAGATCTGGTCGATTCTACATGATTACTGTTTACCCTCCTCATGCGCATGAAATGATAATACGTCTTTATGGTCCATTCATAAGATCCTTGTTACTGTAGTGCATGTTGAATGCATATTTCGCTTCCTGGGTCGATAGTAGAATCCCCAACGGAAAGACAATGAAGGAAATCGGAAGAGTTCAGTTGGTGGTACGATAGAAGATGGCGGTCTTGAGTTCTCATGCCTTCACCTCTCGGTGTGCGCTGGGAAAAGTCCTAAGAAGAGAGGAGGGTAATTTTTTAGATTATTGGATTCTTTCCCTTGGCGGAGCGGGTTCCCGCCGAAGAAAACCATGTATCCTGTGAGGAAAAATGTGAAACATAGGCCCAGTTTCAATGAGCCAGTCTTTACCGATTGAAAGGAATCATTGCATTTCAGGAGCAGCTTTCCTCCGAAAAAGAACTATGAAGGAAATAGATGATTTCTTCTCAACAGAATTAATAGTTGCGATTTTCAAAGTGAGAGGTTGTCGTTCCCGTGAGCAACAGGTGCGATTTTGGAGGCCGGAAGCGTAATTCCCAACAAGGAAGGGTTGATGGATTAAAGCGGACGGACCCAAGAGAGCCTAGGAGGAAACGGTGGCTATCATAAATCCTTCACGGCTGTCCTCATTAAGTTTCTGTCGTTTCTCTCTCCTGCAGAGCCGGAGCGGGAAGAAGAGCAGGAGGAGGAGGATGATGAAGGGGGATCGGGAAAAGAAGTGAGCTTGAGCACGTGCGGGGCCGCTCTTGACGAATGCAAAAGGGATCACAGCTGCAATGTCGCCCTTGCTGCATTCCGGTCCTATTGCTTCACGTTTTCTTGCTCACCCGATTCCTGTCGATCGTCGGTCGCGAATCTCTACCGACGCATCTCCGCCTCGCGAGCCCTGGACATCGCCTTCTGCGTCTGCAGGTCTGTCTCACTAAAGCTACTCATCCGCATTATTCCTAATTTTTGTGCAAGATTGGACCACTTTAGGCGCTTTTCATCTCTTCGAAGAACCAGACATTTGACCTTTCATTTATTATACGATGTAATTCACCGAAAGCAAAGGTAAAGACGACGCGGAGTGTAAGGAGAGAAAGATGCCTGTGAAGCTCAACGAAAAGACGAGATAGAAATGTTCCTATCAAGCCATGCACTTTGAGGTCCACGAATTGAGGCTGGAAGTCTTCAATCATGGAAAGAAGATCCCATGGCTGGGGAGGATAATTATCAGCTCGGCATAAGATGGTTCATGCACAGAGGAGATATTGGGTCCCTAGGTTCTTTCTCTCTCCATGCGATTTCTCCATTAGCAGTCGGCGACGGTCTCATATGCATGCGAACCGCCACAAGCCACCTTCACTTCCCGTCACGCACTTCGCATCATGCTAAATATTTTCAACCTTTATTGATGACAAAAGGAAGTACTTTCTGGTGCTATTCAGGGCACTACGTGTGTATAAAATGAAACATTCCCATAAAAAAAAGTGGGTAGAGGGTGATTATGAACAGCGGCGTGGTTAACATCGTCACGAGTAAGTCTTCGCACGAGATATCGAGGGACCTGGCGATTTTTAGTCCGTTGTGTATTGGATAGTCTTGCCCACTGCCATAAAGCAACACCGAGACCTTTTGGATTTGAGCATATTGCCGAAATTTAGGTTCATGAACTCGTTGAAGTTTTTCGTTCAGAGTTTTAAGAACTAAGGAGGTAAATTTGCCAAAAAAATGTTATTTGAAAGGGAGAGTGGGTTATACTTTTCGTTGAAAGCAAATATCCAGAGAGGGTTTACCAAGTATATGTGGAACGGGAACTCGTAATGTTGGGGAGGAATATCGAGGAAAGTTTAAAGGTCAAATAATGATGAACAAATAAAACTTGCCTAAGGTCTGAGGAATGAGGGTGGCTTTATTGATAAGATCTCTTTCCATTTCCTTTTCCCCTCGACCCACTTTGTCATTACATCAATGCTATAGGTTTTACTGTTTGCCAGGCCGAGACGACGTCTCGGAGTTTTGCGAATTTAATCGAGCGTTTGCTCGAGATCGGTTTGCTTGGATGCTGAGGCCGGCATGGATGACCCTGACTTGAATGCGACCACTTGTGGCTCTGGCTGACCGTATAGGTGGCCCCTACTCTGAAACTGAGAGCACACATTCCAGTCAAGGCGATGAGGACCTTAAGGTCGTGGTTTGAGCAGAGCCACCTTGTTATCGTCAGGTCATGAAATGCAGATGAATGAATTGGGATCATCTTTCTAAGGTGTTCCCGATTCATTTTGGTTGCAGATGTTGAAGAACAACCCATGATTATGTAGGGATAAGTTTTTTGTTGTTAAATTCTATCCTGTACAGTATTACGATCCCAATTATGGTTTGAGCCATCTCTGAATCGAGGCTACTGTACTTTTGGTATTTCATCAGGCAATTTCCTCTTGGAAAAAGTCAGAGGTCATCCATTATGATACGAATTTCCATCCTTAGCATTTAAGCCCTGTCGGGAAAGTTCTTCCCAGGGGGTAATGCGGTTCTTCGGTGAAAATGATGCTTTTGAGAGAGCCGTGTAAGAGCTCATGAGTAATGTAGATTTTAATGCATTTATCTGCGAATTGGAGAAAGGCTGGCTGCATTTCCCTCTCTAATGCTCCAATTTGAGGAGGAGATGCTCCTGGGAATTGACTCATTCTCGTACTCAACCCCCCTCCCTTCGTGGCTCCTGTAGAAGTTTCAGGTATATGGAGAGAGCGAAGGGTTCCTCACTGATGGAATGCTTTGTCGTTCCCAGAGAGGGAGACGAGGAATGCGAAAAGGCCCAGGACGAGCTGCACCCGACGTGTGCCCTGTCCGAGGGTCCTGGGAGAGTGTCCCCTCTGTGCAATCATGTCGCCAGAGACTGCAAAGACGACCCACAGTGCAGGTAATTTGTATATCGCTCATCTCCTATCGTCTCATCTCCATCGGTCGCTCGATTTGTGTCAAGGGGAGAACCCATACAGAGAGTAGCATTTATTTAGCCTTCGTGAGCATGCAATCTTGACTTGCTCGATGACCCTTGGATTTTTGATGTTACCTTTCCTCGTACGCATAACGCCAATTTTGATATTGAGGCTCTTGTCGGTCCTAACCTCTTCGCGACTGGTAGCGGAGCGAAAAAATCTCATCCTCGTGTTTCCCTCGGACCAGGGGGATCTTGGAGTCGTTCGAGCAGTCGTGTGCAGTGGACAGCGACACTCTGGAATGCGCAGGGAGTCGGGAGGCCTGCCGAGATGCTGTCATCGGGACTCTGGGAACGGAGATCCGAAGGGAATGCCAATGCCCCATGGCCACGAATCCTCCCGTTCCTGACCTCTACTCCTGCCTCGGATGGCAACGTCTCCTCTGGCTCAACCCCTGCGTCAGTCAGTATCCAAACCCATCCCACTCGTATACTTATTGGCAGCAGAAGAGCACACGATGTAATAACACGAGAAGATTTTGACTCAGGGCTTCTACGCCCATCCAACCAGCTTTCCAAACCAACCTCCATCCCCCCTCCCCCCTTCCCTATAGGAGCACATGTAAACATCCTTGGTTCTTCGTCGCGTGCTCCTTTTTTCAGTTCTGCGTAGAAGGCTAGCATGACATGGGAGATTGCTCTGCTTCGTCGAAGGGGGTTTCCATTGGCTCATTGCGTAATGAAGCCTCATCGTACATCCGTTTCCAAGAAAATACAACAATCAAAAGCGAATTGAAATAAAAAGGATCCCAGATGGAGTCGCACTTTGTGCCTGTTTGCTCGAGAAATTTTTTTTCGGCAATATGTAATTCACTAAGCATCACGTTCATCCGATGGATGAAATTCTCCCCGATTGCTTCGCCGAGCCCGACCATTAAACATAGCGCTCTCCACGCTGGTGAGAAGGAGGAAGAGAATAGTAGCCGCTTCTCACTGGTATTTTTGGAAGAGGAAGATATCGAGAGCGAAAAATTACAGAAAGTGTCCAAAAGAGGATGAAAAGGAGGTCACGAGCTTAGGAATGTCTCCTTCCACATGTGGAACGAGGCAACAACTGTGACCTCGTAACAGAACTGGTTTTATAACTCGCTAATCTGGTGTCCCCTATTTCGGTGAAGTTTGTGTGCTCCTGCATTCTATCTTTTGCTGGCTGCGAACATTGTACTTTGGGCGAGCTCGTGTCGTTAGGATTCTTCTGCAATACGATGTGGGTGCCATGCGTGGATGGAAAGTAGAAGCAGACAGGAAAAGTTGCCAGCAATCCGTTGGTGCGTGGTAAATCAAAGGGAGGCGAGTAAAACATTGCAGGCAAGACATTGCTTGAATTCTTACATGCTTGAACCGTGGGCAATGTATTACTGGCAATATTCCTCGCCGTTAACAAGGCTTATTCGCAACAGTCTGCAACCATCAATCAATTTCTGGAGGTGTATTATTAACTTCTTTTTCCTGTAATTGGGCCCTAATGTACTCAGACCATTTGAATTTTTCAGTCGAGGCCCTTTCTTCAACCCTTATTCCTATCCGTAAATTCATTGCAGACGAGGCCCAGCAGGAGTACGTGCTGATGAAGCTGAAGCAGAGTTCCGGCATGATTCATCCCCAGGAAGCGAAGGAACCCCTGAAGAGAAAGAATCACTCTCTCCGACCACCTCCTCCTCCTCTCCCACCTCCGTCGAGGACGAATCCTCCATTCATTCTGACGACGTCCCCAACAAATTCTCCCCGGATAAGTACAACCACGACCCGAAAGGTGATGACGACGACGATCACCACCACCGCCGCCACCACCACCACAACAGCAACAACAACCACTCTGCCTCCTCGTGGGTTGCATGATATCTCTCGTGATTGCCTTGTTCGGTCTTCCAATAGGTGTCATTCTATTGATAACTCTCTATTCTCAATCAAATCGATCAAATTCTCAGTGGCCATCCCTCTGAAAAAGAGGATGGCTGATTCCTCCTCCAGACTCAACAAATACTTTTTCTCCCAAGGATTTTGCCTGGCGAAGAAGGGGGATGGAAGAGAGTATCGCATCATCGAGGGTGAAGCCGTGAGGGTATAGCTTCTTCTCATTCTTCGCATGTTTCGTGTCCTTTGTATAGATAAACGACCTGTGTCCTCACGAAAGTTTCAGCTGTACGAGCCAAGCCGTCCAGAGTGTTCGGAGCTGTGTATGTGTGAGTATGGGCAAGAATTGAGCTGCAAGACGCTGAGTTGCATCGAGAAAGTTCCTTGCTCCACGAACGTTGCCAAATATGTCCATTCCTCGCCTGCTTACCTTGCATATCGTAAAGAGTGCCTCTGTTACTCCGGTGACTTCATCTGCATGAGACCCGACCCCGGTTCGTCTCTCTCGTCATCCCATTGTGTTTCGCGACAGAGGCTAGGGCCTTCATCTCTGACCCTGTCTCTCGTAGACGTGTTCCGATTGAGAGAAGATGCGAGCGGGGTGTTTCTTTACCTGGGCTACAGTCGTCGGGACGAAGCGCTGTTGCTGCCTCAAACGAGGGAATCAATGCACGATGCCATCCCAAGGCTAGAATCCATCATCGCCCGACATGCTCGGAACAAGGTCCCACTAACACCCCTTTCGTTTCTGTTAACCCTTTCAGTGAATCTTCAAGGCCCTGTTCTACATAGGTGAACCCAGATACTTATAACGAGTCTCTTATCTTCATTTTGGTTGCTATGGTGATAGCAACCACTTTTAGATGCGATATCGGCTGCCATGGTTACCATCGTGCGACCTTGCATTGGCGGTTTCCATGTTTCTATTGCAAGAGTCTTATGAACACATTCATATAAGGGCGCAGTGTTTTCGAAATGATTTAAGCGTGATTTTTGCTTGTTTCGATGACCGAAAGGTTTAATGAAAATGGAACGGGGGGGAGTGTTCACGATTCATTTCCCTTGTCACTGCAGAGTTCCTGTAGCCTGAACATATATAACTGGACGGGGGATAATGTGGTCCTCCAGGCTCGCATTTCCGACCCACCTGACTCCACCAACGAGTCTCTCGCATACACCATCCTGTGGAGAGAAAAGGTAGGTCTCTGACAACCGTAGCGACCGGTGATAGATGCAGAATGCATATAATCGTTCCCTGCAGACGGAGTGCAGTCCGGCCCTGCTAAGCCTGAAGGAGCTTATCAACAGCCGGGACGTATCAGTCGCCCAACAGCCCACTCTGTCCATGATCAAATTGGCAGACGTGGAAATCAAAGTGGTGGACCCCGTGGTGCCCAGCGGAGCCTCATCTCTCTCGGACTGCTCCCCGCTCTACTTTCTGGTGCTGATCGTTCTTTGGACCCATCTCCTCAACCCAACTTGACCATTGACCTTCCACCCCGTTTTGTCAACGAGACAGCATATCATCCCTTGGTGCTCCTCATTCGTTAATCTGGACAAGTTGGGGAACATGTGACTTTTTACCAATTTCAGAGGGTGCTGAATTACTCCCGCTTCTATAGTTTCTATCCAAGGAGTTTGTTTTTGTTCTCTATGCTCCTAGTTGTTTCAGAGAGAAAAAAAGAAAGCAGGTCTTTGGATGGAAGAGATGTTCGAGATGACATGTTCTATTCTGCTCAAGAGTTTAATCCGTTTCAGCGCGTTGACGATGGAATCTAGTCGGTACTTGAGAATGTGCTCACTCTCTTGTTTGATCTCGAAGCCAGTACACAAGTACTAAGTGCACTCCTGCCTTTAGTTCTGCTATTGAAAGCACCATTCTATGAGTTCCCAAGAGATACTACTAGCACTCTCGAAGTCCTCATATATGCTGCTGGGAAGCTCCAAGGACGCCCCATAGGATTCCCCTTCCGTTTTATCTCTTGAAACCGTGCTGAGTTTTTGATTGCCGAACATCTACAAAGATATATGTATATTTTGTGTCGCTGCAAGTAAGGTTTAGAGAACCTTGAAAATTTTCGCGAAACTAAAAATGTTTGGAGTTGTTCGACAGATATAAAAACGATGAGATGTCCCTGATGCCTTACACCCGATTTCGTGGATCAGAGAATACTGAGTTCTATTGTTCACGTAGATCATTCATTATTGACGATTTATGAAATTGCCAAAAAATTCCCCAAGCAATAATAGCGATGCAAAGTGGTGCCGAATTGACACGAACTATCCCAACACTCAGACCTATTCCCGAGTAGGTTGGAGACGTAAAAATAAAATCCTGTGTAGCTAGAAAAAAAAATTTATATGGGAACACCATCATCCCTATTTTCCAAAGAGTGTTTCTTCACGTTGTCATCCTGTTTTCCGAAATAAAGTGTTTTTTATTTTTTCTATACTTGGATTCTCATTGAAGTGCCGTCGGCGAGCGATTCCACTATCGAGTGGGTGATAAACGTTTAAATTCTCGTAATTACTCTCCTGCACGATATCGCTTTTTCTGTCACGCATCGCGTTTATTATGGCCAAGGTCAGAAATATCGCAGACAGATGGGAATTAGACGCCTCTCTTTCTTATTCAGAGAGAACAGAAATTATTCAGAAAAAGATTAGAAGTCCTTCATTTTGATGAAGAGGGCGGAATGAAATTGATTTCTGCTCGGTCCCGTGTTCCTCTTAGTCGAAAGGCTGGGAAACACGAATTGCGTGGCACTCTTAACTCTAGGTTCGTGCCCTGCGAGGAGAGTTTCCAGTCTCAGATTATTTCCTTAACTTCACCTTTTACGGCTCTTCTAGACCGCCTTCAAGGTATACTCGAGATGATGGAGTCCAATGCCATCGAGGAATGTGAAAATCACGGGGGACTAAACCTTCTCCATGCAGCTTCAAAACACAAAACATACGTTCACGGGAAACGCATGAGCTTCAAAATAGTTTCACTTCTTTTACCGAAGCCTTTTACGAGATTCTCCTGAGGTTTTTCAGAGGCCTCATGAGGTTTTATGAGACAGACCTCATGATTTGACAGGAGGCCATCGCACTAGATACGGACTTCTTTACTACAATTTCATGTGATAAACCGGGTAATCGATAAAGGGTCACGTGGCTCCCTTGCTAGAAAGTGAAAGACACGTCCTAAATAGCAATTAGTCGTAAATATTTTTTTTAAAAAAAGGAAGACCTTGCCTTTTAAAAATGCTAATACGAAGGCATCTCGGAGCACGAAAACGTTCCCCAGACAAAGGAAGCACCATTTAGAGAGCAACATTTCCAACTAATTCCATTTTTCGGGTTTCTCTCAACAGGAGCAATGCGAGGAGATATGTTTAGCCTCCATGTTCCTCTCGAGCCATTATTCCCCCGTTACCATATATGGTAAGCAGAACGATGATAATAATATCATCTAATACTTATGACAAATCCCACCTAACATCTACATTATTTGTCTGAATGGAGTATAATTGGAGAGTATAATTGGTAAGCACCCTGGTTTCTGGCCGGTCTCCATTTGTTGGCCAGTGAGGCTTAAATCCAGCATGATTAGTTAATTTGGCCGTTTTCAAGCATTCTATCAACATGTTCCCGTACAAGGACCTATTACTAGTGTTTCCCGGTGTGCGCACAGGGTGTCCACAAACTACGGGAGGAAGTATCAGCGAGGCCAAAAACTGGGGTATTTACCTTATATTCATCAAAACACCTGGGGATAGCATACTTATTAGAACCCATCATGGCTGATTGGTCATTACTCACGGCTCTGCATCTTGAGATGACTTATAATTACAAGCTGAGAAATCGTTGCAAAACACGCCAGCGGAACAGTACCTTTCTCCTTTATATGTGGCAGGAATGAGATGCTTCCAAAAATGCAAGTTTTCATTCGGTATACACCTACCCAACCTTACCATGCAACCTTCGTTTCATTGCTGTTGAACCAATCAACGAATCTTCTGTTTCAGAAGCTGTTCTTCGTACTTGGGATAAGGCCTACGTTTTTCGTCATCTCATGTTACATGTGCAGCTTATATGTGGCTTACCACATTATAACTATCTTGCCACATTACATAAACATCTTACCACATTATAGTCGCCTGCAAGACGACTGAGGCTGTAATGACTATATTTCACCTCGACGAATTTCGGTGGGACGTCATCCAACTTTTCACGATTCAACCTTGAACGTCTGATCCTGAGCCGCATCCGATGGCACGAGAGGCGTGGATCTAAATAGATGTATTTGGAATCATACAGGGAAATGACACGGTTTTCGATGGTTGGAGATAGTAATACGAAGAGATGAATGAGGCCCAGGGGAAGTCGGCAAGAAGATCGAGAAGGGCCGCATGGAGTTTCATTCTATTCCATCTGAATACAACTGTCAGAATTTTCGAGTGTCTACATTAACGTTATTGGATGGGAGTGGAATGCTGGCGTTATCGTATGATGTTCCGAGATGAGAAATTTAAATTCGCCCTGCATCGCACAGTCACGTTTTCAGATTAATGTCGGAGCTGCGCCGGTTCTGACGTGCATGAAGCAGTCGAGGAGGACGACTGACTCACGAGAACGTGACCTGCCATCGTCATCCTTCACGCGAGTCAGTCCCCTCTTAAGCCCTTACTCCTTTATGGCAGTCCCCAGCATTCGTTAACGACTGTGTGATCCTCTATCTGGGGAAACGGGGTATCGCATGTCCATCTCCGTTGCTGCATGGCAGTCAAAAAAGTATCCCGTGAACAATCTCGTCGGTTTTCGTGTGCAGGGTTAGGATTAAAGAACATCACCGATCGGGGATAGGTCTTTTCTCCAAAGCGACGGATGGTGGAGATTCGTGTCGTATCGAAGGAGGATTTGGATCACCTCACGAAAGATGAGATTCTCTCATTCCAAGAATCCATGAAGGATGATCTCCTTCGACTCGATGTCTATTTCTTGGATCTCAACCTTTACGTCATCTCCCAGCACCCCAAATACGGAACAGTTTTGACGAAGAAGTTTGAGAGGAAGGAACTGCAGAGCAGCATTGGAGGCGTGGTCGGGATTTATCCGGGTCCTCTGCATCGTCACGACTCTGGAAATTCCGGAATTCCTAGTTCTTGCTTTGGAACAGCTGCTTTCGAATGAACTTTTTGTTCTTTTCAACGGAAAGAAAAGACGGAAGAAGAGATACATCCATACAACTATCGGGAACCTCGGGATGGAGTGCAAGCGACGCCAGGGCGGAATAGACCGAAGATCGCAAATCTCTTTTCCACAGTCGACGTCCGTCTGGACGGAACGAAATGGAAATGCAGATCGCAGAAATGGAAATGCCAGTCGATGTGGGGGAGGAAAGATTCCCCTCGATATCCGGTTATCTCGGCGACACGAATCTCACGGTCTCGTCGATGTCGTGTCTCGATTCATCCTCGATTTACTTCTCGCTTCGTATTGGTGCGTGCGCTTACGTTCGTGACGATAAAAGATAACCGCCCCGCCAATGTTTTCTGTCTTCAATCCGAGCGAGAAAGAGAGATTCCAAGGCCGACTGTGACTTCATCCACAATTTTGACGCACGTTAAAATCGCGACGGGCTTTCGCTCAAAGTGGCAGGGGGGTCGGACTCGATTAGGCTGGGGCCGGATGGAAGCTTTCCGGGGTGATAAGGGGCCACGATAAAAATCCAACACGAAATCTGTCATGCAAGCAGGCTGAAATTCGCAGTACTTTTCCGTGACCAACTGCTGAGAAGGATTTCGCGGGTCGGACAAAATGGACTGGCTGGTCGGTACGGGACAAGCATAGGGCGAGTCTTCATCGATCGGAAATCGCTCTTATGTATGCTCTTCTTCTGACTTCTTCTGGCCCTGCTTAAACCTGAAAAAGCTGACATACAAAAGGCAATACTGTACATGTGAAAGTGAGACGATCGCGTGAGTCGGGTCTCGAATCTGGAGCTCATCATTGAAATGCGACCCTTACGAGCTCACCTTCAGACATCTGTCGACCTGTTCGCTGCTCGGAGCAGACGATTAAATTTATCTGCCATCGGTGCCGATCGTGCCGATTCGGCGTGTGGTCACGAGTGACAATAGCTGCAATCGCATCTGAAGGATTCGAGTCGAAAACGATAGCGTCACGAGGAGGTGAGGGGGAAAGCAAATGCATTTGGGTGAAGCGAAGCAGTTCTTGTCGGTGCGTAGCATCTGGTGAAAAAAATATTTCTCGGGTGCTGTAGCAAAAAATTGGAATTCATGAAAATTCACCGAGAACAATGCTGGCGAGTCTGGTTTGTTTTGTCCGAACAACGAATGCTCTTCGATATCTACTCGCTTGTCAGCTTCATCGATTGGAAAGGTTTGGAAATGGAGTTAATGATCATCGGGTGAGAATGTTCGTCGACGCAAACATCAAACAGGTATTTGCGACTACATGAGAGAAAAAAGAGGCATCAGTACGTAAGCTGAAAGTTGAACTGAAATGTGAACTGTGAGTGAAGGACATGCCACACTAACTGTTAACAGAAATTCCATTTTGAAATTCTAACATTCGGTTGTTGTGCACTGTAAAAAATAGTGTTTCGGACTAGAACCCTTGCCAGCTAACAGAGATGTTCACACAATCTCTGCGAACACGCGGAAAGAATTGCACGTCCATCGATGTGGGATTATTTTACAAGGCATGTCGCGATTTTCTCGCTTTCATTTGACTGACCCTCGTAGCTGACACAAAGATGCATAATGACAACTCGGCAGCTCTTGAACCATTAAGGAAGGTGCTCGGTACGAGTCTATGTCTTGTGATCACTGGAACCATTTTTTCACACTATATTTGCAGAATAATTACTCATAGGAGCGACGATGTGGACGTCCAAGATGATATCATTCATTACCTGCCCTGTGAAAGCTCTGATAACCTGGTAGATCCGGGAATTGGTTCATTCCACGAAAATGGTTCCATAAAATTTTCACCAAAAACGGTTCCAATCCGAGCCTTTATTATTTGGAGTGTAGAACCGTTTTTCATTACTGTACGTTTGTGCAATAGTTACCAGTCGGAGTGATCGCTTGAATGTCCTTGGTTGTAGCGTTCATGTTCTGTCCCGTCGAAGCCCTAAAGTCGTGGTAGCTGAAGGAAAGAGCTCAGCTCTTTCGCAAAAATGGTTTTATACAGGTTTCACTCGAAAACATTCTTTCTTTTATTGTGTAATAAGATGTCATGCGAGAATTATTCCATGATACGGAGAAAAAAAGCACCCAATCACCCTCCTCAAATTTATTACTGATTTTCCTTAGTAGAATGTAGCTGTGTGAATTTTTTTGCCAATATTTCTGACGTCAAGTATAC